AGACGTTAGTAGGGGGGGGGGGGGGGGGAGTCTTCCTCTGAAGTCAAGGAGGAGGAAGATTAGGTTGATCCTAACCGAATGATGATGAATTACTTCTGTGGCAGTACCCCAACAAGATTGAGAGAGGGCTCAGAAGAGAGGGTGCTACCCGGGTACATAAGTATTAGGTCCGCCAGCGCACACAAGTATTCTCCTGTCTTTTGTATTTTGGTTCACGAACCTTTATACACATTGATGCTTGTTTCTTTCAACATTAGTTGAACTGATCAAAAAAGATCACAGAAAAGAAGATATATGATTGTCACAGTTCTTTGGCTTGTTAAGACTGAGCAAAATACTAAATATAGTTCAAGAAATCAAATGTCTCCGCGGCAGGTTAGTGTAGTTGATTTTCCTAAAACAACCTCCGAGACACAAATAAAAAGCTTGGAGGTCTAGACACAGAATTTTTACCTCCTTATCCACCCCACGACTGCCTTTCATACTCTTACACTATGGCCTGCTAGATCCTCTTGGGTTTTTTGTTAAGTTTCCTACATCCACGTTCTCCACTAGCAAGGCTACGCTGATCTTAACTGCTTTTAGCAACAAAAAAGGTTCTTCAGCTTGGTTTAGGTCTTCCTTGTTGGGTGGCGTGGGTGGGGGTTTTTCATGCATGCTCCTTTTACAAGAAAGAGGTTAGATAAGCTGTCATATTCAGTCAGAACATTTGGACTGTTAAATGCTCCTCCAACCCCAACCCCAAAGCAAACAAAAAAAGATGTTAATATTAACTGTATTGATGTATTCTGTATTAAATTTGTAAGAACTATGATACAAACATAAGACATACCAATTTCCCCTTCCACTAAATCAATCCCAGATCCAGTAAATTTGTAAGAACTACGATACAAACATAAGACATACCAATTTCCCCTTCCACTAAATCAATCCCAGATCCAGGAGCAGAGGTTCCAGACTTGTCAGAGAGCTGCTGATCATCACGTTTTGGCACTAGAATGTATGATTTGTCCTTACCATTTCCAGCCTTAGAACTGTCCCGCAGAACATACTGCAGAACAAGGTGGTAATTCCGTAAGCAATATAAGATAAGAGTTACTGACAAAATGTCAATAAACAAAAAAATATCCAACAAGTAGCAGTTTTATTGTCAATACCCAACATGAAAAGGCAAAAACTAAACATGTGCATCTGCGTGGGTGTGTGTGTGCGCATAAGCTTATGACCAAACTAACAAATATCTGGTGCAAAAATTTAATAAAACATGCTTCCAGGCTGTTATAGAGAACAAGGAAACTAGCAATGAAAAGCTCAATTATAAGGCAAAGCTGCAAAAAGCAAAAGCAGAGTAAGAGCAGTGAAGGCCCAATACCATCCTCATGTACAAGCAGGCATATAGATCAAACCAGGTCAGGTTTTACAATGAGAGACAACTGAAAGCAGGTCAAGAGTAGAGAATGGTACACTTAGACAAGGCCTTCATATTCTCTGAACTAGAAACGCAAATTTATCATGTATAAAAAAGGCGTGATATAAAAACGCATGGACCAATCCCAGTAGTCCATGGCCATAAGTTTGGGAAGAAGAGCATGTACCATGGTCGTAGAAGTCCTCTTTTCAGAGCCTCGTTTAGATGCAGCTGAGCTAGGAGTTCTTGAGGATGCGCCACCAACCCTTTTGGTTGATCTTCCATTAGATATAGATCTCTGACAAAAACCAAGTCAATAAACTTGGTGTCATTTATTACTTGGGGGAAGTTGCTCAAAATAGTGATACAATAATTTCTTTTAATAAGACAAAAGAGACCATATTCGAAGAGAAGTAGCGGAGAATGCAATGGAATCTTCTATATGAATACAAAGTAAGCAAAGGAAGACTGATGAAGGAACATTAAGAAGAAAAAGACTGAATATTAGTCCTCAAATCAGCTTCTGAAAAGCATGTATAGATAAAGTAATAATATTTTAATATAGAAGGGCAAAAAAAACCCGTATAAAGAAGTATCAGCTTCACAAGAACGTAACACAATCTTTACAACAAGATGCAATTCAACTATATCTAGTTCTTCCAACGATTTGTCCCCTATACATCAATTACCATCTATTAATACCATCCACAATGGTACATAATTCACCGTCAAAACTTCAGTTCCTTATATAAAAGAATTCATTAATAAAAACGCCAGATTAACAGAGACATTTTATTTAGTGAATAAGCAACGTTAGAAGCTCATTCTGGTAAAATATCCACAAATAACAAAACCTTATTTACAACCAGGTAGCTCAAAGCAGAAAATGTACAGCTTCTTCAATTCTTTGAGCATAGATCTCATAACTGAAACAGAAAGATAAAAGAAAAAGAGGAGGTTCCCAATATAAAAATCCACTTCAGACCAACTGATGAAACTTTTTTCTCGGTTGCGTACTCAAGTCAGTCAACAAAGATAAACACAAACTAGTTTAATGACGTGGAAGAATTAATATTTTCCCATATCTCTTTTTCACAACAGATAAAAGCATGGAGCACCTACAAGTAGAAAGTTGCACCTCGACAAAAACAGACAGCAACTAGTTCTTTGCTAGTAAAGTTTGAAAATCCCATCATTAGGAATTTCGAAACAGGAAAATTTCCTACCCGAGCTCCACCCTTCGCAGCTCTTTTCTGACGTATATAATCCATTAATGGAGTAACTATAGGAGCATCCTTTGCTGAGCCTGAAATACAGAAATAAGTGGAACTTCAATTTCAAACCACATGCACTCCACCTTCATGCTTTGCTCTCCAACACCTCTCATTTTGATAAATATCTCCATTTAATGCACAACGAGACTAGTACAATGTTCTAGAGATGTTCTAACTGACCAGCTCGTTCAGCCTCTTTTCTCTCCAATTGTATCTCAGCACTTGGAAGATTCTCAACAGGCTTTGCAAGAAATTCAAGGAACTCCAGATATTCAGGATCTACAAGTGCATCAACAAAATTAACGTAACTGCAGACAAGATGGAGATAGCACGTACGTCACATGCAATCAGCTCATCAATTTTAATACCTTTCAGTATGGTCGCTTCACGGGCATCCTTCTTGGACCAGTGCTTTGGAACACGCTGTGAAGGAGCATACTCGACAATTGTTTTGAACTGAGTGCCTAATATAGACATCCCCAGAAGATGAGAATAATAATTTTCCAATCAAAGATTAGATCACTACGCAAGATAGATCTAGCAGGAACCAGAAAAGAAATGGTGCAACACATAATAGTGTGTGACGACCAAAGGGACCAAAGAGACACCCAATAGCAAAAGCTGAACCAAAATAAATAAACAAATAAATCATTTTCAAATTTCATCTTGATGGAAGGAATGCCCAATCAATCTCTTGTAACTGTGCTTGAGCTTACCTTTCTCATTCACAAAAACGTGCCCATCAAAGAACTCAGCGAACTCAATAACATCTTCTGTATTTCTAAAGTCAATATAGGCTCTCGAATAGCTTTGATGCCTCAGGCTGCAGAAGAAATGTTTAGCATATAAGTGTCAACAACGACAATGTTGAAAAAAATGAATCAAGCTATACCAGTCTAAAGTATGTATATTCATGTTTTAAACATACCATACTTGCACAAATATCAGCTTTTTAGGTGGAGAGGGCTATAAATCATTTCCCGAGACAGTAAAGAATAGAGAAAAGGAAATCTTTGTTTTTTATGAGAAAGGTAAAGAAAAGGAAATCTTTGTTAAATAATAGGGGGAAAAAAAGCAAAACAATCTGACCAGTTTCGGACTTTATGCAAATAAAACCATGCATAAGAGTTTTTCTGAATCGGAACAAAACCATCCATAATTTTTCTTTCTTAGCAAAATGGGAAAGACTTCATTAATAACAAAAATACTCCGGACCCGAAAAAAATAACATACAATACCGCATACACAAATCTGAGGCAAAAGCTAAAGCAATACTGGACACGCCACGGAGAGCTCTAATTCAAACACAAACTACAGATATGCAGCCATCGAGCTGTTATAATTGTAAGCCTAACTTGCTGTCCATTCCCTGGAGAACTAGTTGGATACACAGAAAATGGATAAATCATGAAACTTCATACTTGTAGGTACCAAGAACATCGCATTTTGTTCAAACCATTTCACAAAAAGAGTAGACTACAACAATATACTTTTTTTATAACTGCAATGTCCAAGCCAACTTGCGCACCTCGATTATTCCAACAGGTACCTGCTATTTTCCCCAAAGCAAGTACCAGATAATTTTGTCCATCAAAGCTTAGGCAGATGAGACAAATTACTAAATGCCTTTTGTCTCTGTAATAAATTTGAACCCTGGACTCACATTGGTTTTCACCAACTTCATGGAGGCTACACCCTTTGGTGCAACACCAAACAACATACTCTCCATACCAAACACTGGAGTATACAATGACTCGTGAACACAGTTCCTTGCCTAAAAGAACAATTCAATGCAACTCATTTCCTTTTAAAGCAAAAAAACTATGGATAAGCCACAAAACTTTCTTTTTTTATTTTTTTATAAAGTGGTGCAGTCAATTGCACAAACCTCGACTAATTTACCGAGGATTTGTTACCTCTTATCAACGCAAGCACTGGTAATTCTATCCATAAAGGCTTAGGCAAATGTAAAAAAATCACCTAGTGTTTTGAACCCTAATCTTCCAGGATCTTTCCCCAACTTCATTGACTACTAGGTTACACCCTCGGAGCAAATGGTTTTTTATTCTAAGGCTTGAACCTGAGACCTTTGGTAAGGATAGACAATCCCAACCATCCCTTCGTAACACTGGTGCCCACACTATTTAAATTTCATAAATTGAAAAATCGATATTAAATATAAAAACAAGATTTTGCTAATAACAACATGGTGTAGTACGTTAGCACCATATTGATTTCCTTTCCTTTTAATAGCCCTCACTATCTCATCAATACCAGGGGGTTTCAGGCATTCCTTTAAAATAAGTACCACCTTACTCTTTCTACCCCTTCTGTGGAGAAAGGAACATTTCAAGATATGTGTTTCTAATGGACATTAAAAAGATGGTTATGGTGAAACACAAAGCAAAGCATAATTTTGTAAACACGAGCAAGTATGTCGATTATATTGAATGCTACTACATCAATTTCTCCCCCCCCCCCCCCTTTTTCCCTAGTGCTAGATCAAATAAACTCTTACATTTCTTAATAAATATGAAAAAATGAAACACTCAAGGAATACTGAACTTCATCTGACACATAACTCACAGGATCAGTACCCACAATCACAAGCTTAAGGAATTAATAGCACTAAGATAAAGCATAATGAAGGGAAACTGGAAAAAATATATAAAAAATAATATAAAGTCACAAGCAATATCCAAAAGTAAAGAGTTACTTCTATAAGTACCACAATAAATAGACAAATCATATAAATATCAATTATTTATACAAAATATATAAAAACAATAATAAAGCTACCAAGCAATAAAAACGATTACAGAAGATATTGTAGTCAGAAACCACATATTACGTATACAAAAACATAATTTTGTCTAGTGTACACAAATACATAAAAATTTAAAAAAAATAAATAAAAAATAAATTCTTAATTGCTATTTATGGAAACCCTAACCTGGTCTTGCCGGGGCGAAAAGTGAACCAGTTGTACCGACCAGCGAAGCGAGAATCAACCTGCTCGAGAAGCGTAGACTGAGAAAGCGTCGGCGGCAAGTGCCGCACAACCACTTTGGTTCGCCGATTCTTCATGTGACACTATAATACCCTAGGAAAATATCCAAATAATATCCAATCTAGTGAAATTTGCATAAAAAATTAGCTGTAAATTGCTAACGAATCACATCTTTCCACTCTTTATCACAGTCGATCGATGAAATTCGTGTGCGCTAATTTCCAATTCCACGCAATATGTCCGTGCATGAGATTGCTAGAGAGAGTGGAAAAGGGGAATTTCTTTTAGAGAGAGAAAGGGGCGTGAAATTACCAGCGTGACGAGAGAGGATTTTGCAAAGGAATTTTGTATTTTATATTTGTACATTACATGTATACAAGTACGTATACGCACTCTCGTGTTGTGACGTGTTGTACGTCTATACAATTTGCAAGAAGTTTTGCAATTTGTGTTTGGATGACTTTTTCCAAAAAATAATTACGTCCAATAACAAAACAATAATCTAATAGTGGTGAAGATGGAGTAGAATAAAGAGGTCCCCTCATCCTAGGAACACCATTCTTAGCGACACGAAGAGCTATATTAGATATACAAGAGAGGAAACTCATGCTTAGAGTGGGTGAGGAGACTGTGAGGATGTTTGGATTGGCTTTTAAGCTGGTCAAATCAGTTTTTAAGCTCTTTTTAACTTTTTTCAGTGTTTAGCAAAGTCAAAAAGTGCTCAAAATAAGTTAAAAACTACTTAAAATAAGCCAAAAGCAATAAGATGGGCAACCCCAACTTATTGTTGTAAATACCTAATTTTTGCTCTTTCTTTTCTCCTACATTGCACCTTTTTAGATTTATTTTTGTGTGTATTTGTAGATTTTAGAATTAGAGTTTTTAAATGTTGAGTGATGGGGTTAAAGGGATTTGGTCTTGCCATTTAAAGCACAAATTGGCCCAAAAACATGGACCAATTCGTTGGCCCAAGAGTATTGGACCCGCCCAGCTCAAGATCCCAACCAGACACGCCAAAACGACGTCGTTTTGTTTAAGTGGCTGAGATTGCACTCATCTTGGCTTGATCCAAGGGTCACCATTTAATCTTCACTCCTAGTATTTAAAGCCTAAGGAAGCCAAATTTTGCCCCCATTTTTTGCCTAATCTCTTTCTTCTTCCTCTCTCTTCCCACTCTCTCCTCTCTTCTTAGAGACCATCCACCCGCCTTCCGCCGGCCGGAAATCGCCACCGCCGGCGGATGATAATAGGCTAGATTCATGTAATTTGGCGACTGTTTACGCCCCAGCTTGACTATGTTTCACTGTTATAAGATAGTTAAATGATGATAAATTGGCTATAATTGTGAATTCCATACTTTGCACGAGTGAGTGGCATGTATGAGGACTTAAAACTGTAATTGGAGCTAAATTGAAGCAAGAGAAGCCCCTGCGAGCTTAGTACGTGGGAAGACGAGAGAAAGAAGAGCTGAAATGAAGACCCAGACTAGCGCGACCGCACTAGCCCAGGAATTTGAGGCAGAATGGTAGGCCATATGCGCGGTCATTAGCGCGTCCACTAACGCAATCGCGCTAGCCCAGTTCTGGAAAAATAAACTTCAGGGGTAAACTTGGAAGTTCGGGGGTAAATCCACTTAACCTATAGAAGGTCCATCTCGCCCAAGGGAACATTATCAAGGTTTTCATAGCTTAGTTCAAGGCAAGGAGAGGCAAGAGGCAAGGAGGATAATTCAACATCGAGTTCTTCCTTTTGTGTTTTACCAATTGTGATGAATTTGACTATTGTTATGATGAACACTAATATGAGTAGCTAAATATTTAGTCTAGGGTTTTGATGGAACCTATTGAAGGATGAACTTCTTGTTATGTTAATATAGTTTGCCTGATTTAATCTCTATTTGTTCAACTACGTTCTTGTTGTAGTTAATTGATAGGATCCTCAATTAGCTGTGCCTATTTAGTGTGCATAACTCGGGAGAGAGTGCATATTTAGGTAATTATTGAACAACACCACTCCCAAAATATATGAGGGATCAATAAGCGAGGGTTTAAAGGCGGGATTAGGGATAACGAAGCCTTGGGTGCAATCTAAAGTGAGCTGTACTAAACAAATCCAGCTAGCGTAACTCGGGAGAGTGCGTCTCGTAAATTGTCGTGATTACTCGGGAGAGATTTACGGTAATAAAAGTGCTCATGATTGATAGAGATGATTAGGCAATTCTATGGGAAACATAATCCGGAAGGGATTCCATCAATATAGAAAATCATAACCTTAGAACCTTCTCTTAATTGTTTATAACTTAATCATAGTTAGCCTTCAGTTGCTTATTTACATTCATTCTTAGTTAGTAGAAACATCCTCAATTGTTATTCAGAACGTTTTGGAAGTTGATTAAGTAGAATTTTGTAAGTCTAACGAGAGTAATTGATAGGTTAATTCCTTGTGGGTTCGACTCTGGGCGAAATACTCAGATTATATTTGCAACGTCCGCGTGTCCTTTTTATAAGGCATAGTTGGGCGTGATCAGCGGACCACCTCCAAACCACCCCAAAATTTCACCACTTTTTCCGCTCAACCTCCTCTCCATGAATCCAAACCCCAAATCCCCATAACCCCTCTCAATCTCCGTAAATCTAAGCTTAACCGAAACCCTAGCCGCCGCTCACCACCCCAAACTCCGAAAATTTTACACCACCAGCCTCCTCTCACCCTCCTCTTCTCCATTCCCCGCCCCCAAAACCTTCCAAACCTCTCCAAAAAGCGGCGAACATTGGCCAGCCACCGTCGACCACCCCACTGCCCGCCGCCTGCCACCACTGCTTCTCCATCTTCGTTTCTTTCGACCCGAGAATCCTCTTTTCCTTCCGGCATAATGTTGGAATTCCTTTGTTTTAGCATTTGCCGGAGTTAATTGAGTGTTTCAGGGTGGGCAGCTACAACTTCACATCTCCGGCATCTTCTCATGGCTTGAACAGTGTCAAATGCCCTCAATTGGTATAAACCTTACTTCTTTTTTTTCTTTTCTGATTTTTTGCTTTTGCAATTAGTATTAGTTTTAAAGGTTTAATTTCCACTAATGTTTCTATTATTTTTATGCGATGAGTATTAGTTTTTAATTAAATGTTACATTAAAAATGTGAATTTCAGTTTTCGACCTAGCCGGTCGAGTAGTTCGTTGTTGTGTGTTAGTTCTGATTTTTGGTTCTTCGACTTAGTCGATTGACTATTTTGTATAGAGTTGTTAAGTTTGAATTTTCAGTTCTTCGACCTAGTAGGTCGAATAGTTAAGTATTTATGTTAATTTCATGAAAAACCAAAAGATTAGTTGAATTGTTTATATAGTTAGTCGTATATTTAGTTGTTATTAATCGTGATAGTTTAGCGATGTTCGTTTAAAATCTGTTTCGAGCATTAGTTTGTGAATTCAGTTGTTTGTTCTATGTTTAGTTTGCACAAATCAATTTGTTTTAATCTAGTTAGTTTGAGTTTTAGTTCCATTTGAAGTTTTGTTTCCGTTTTGTCAGTTGTTAGTTGTGTGATTTGTTTTGGTTCAAAATCAATAGGGTGGTATTGATGTTGTTATAAATCTGAAAGATTAGATGGGTTTTGANTACTTTTTATCAATAGGGGGCTAAAATAACTCTTTGTTTCTGTTACAGCAGGTTCTCAGACTGTCCTTTCACGTTTTGGACAACCTTTGAACAGTGTTTAGCACACAAAGTCAGTCCCTTTTGGACAGATTTTTGGTGAACCAAAATTTGCCCAAAAAGTGGCTTTCTTTGCTACTTAAGGGCAACCCTTTCCTCACTTTAGATGGACAATTGATCACACATTGGTAGGACAGATATAAAAAAACATCTTTTACTCTAAAAAACACACATCTGGAGAATTGCTTAAAACACACATGGCTGGACATCTTTTGCACACAAAATAGGAACACAGCTTTAAGAGTAAAAGTAGTATCTGAACATTGGGTAGTAAGTTGAAAGTGTTGATCTTTTTTGTGAGCGAGTTCTCTGTTTGCAAAACCTTAAAAAGCCTAAGAGTTTTGAAGTTGATTGCTGGGATCCTTCTTCTTTAAAAGTTACTAAGTTAAGGGTTTTTCCTGAATTGTTTCTCGGGTCAAAAGTTGCTGATTTGCTGTTGTTTATTGCTGTTTTCTACGGTCATTTGCTACCGAGCTTCATTTTCTCTGTTTGCTGCATTCTGAAATTCTGCAAACTAGGTATTTCTCTTAAGCTTTGCAATGTAACATGTGATAAAAAGCATGAGAATATGGTTGTTTGTCTTGTTAAGTTCTAATATTAAACAAATGCTGTCATTTTAAAGTTCTAAGAGCATTGCTTTATCTCTTTTGGGTTGTAAATATGCTGAGCATGAAAAGACTTGATAAAGATTTACTACTTCACTCTTATTATTAATGTACTGCTACATAGAGTTATTGCTATTTCTTTAAATTCATTGGATGCTTGAAGCTAAAAAGAGTAAAACAAATGTTTGGTCAAATGAAGTAATTTGAAGTTTGGAGAGTTGGCATGATGAATGTGTTAGTTTCGCCTTATTTAACTGAAATTGGTCCTTAGAGATGTGTAAGTTTAATTATTTTCTTTTTAGTTCTTGTTTAAGATAGCATTAGAAGATGTGGTAGTACTTAATAGAGGTAGACTTTTGTAACTAATAAAAAGAAGTTGGGTTTGAATAGATAGGCTACATAAATTTATGCATAACTAATCTTGTTGGCAGTATTAGTAAATCGGAACAACAGATTATTTGCACCGAATAAAATCAAGTTCGCCAGGCCCATGATAACAATAGTTCAGCTGGCCTGTTCTTTGTAAACATTCTCTGCTAGGCCCATTTCGTGTTAAGCATGCTAGCTGGCCCTTTCTTCTTTTTTTTTAATAAAAATAATCAGGTGGGCCAAATAAAATCCGAATTTCTGCAGCCCCATTCAAACAAAGTTGGCTGGTCCATCCTTTAAATATAGCAAGTCCATACTTTCAATAAAGATGGCCAATTTTCTTTTAGTAACTTCAACAAGCCCAATGCCAATAATTGATAAGAGTCCAAGTTTAAATGTCATATTTGGTTAAACAAACGTAGTAGTATTATAGCCTTTTCTAGTAATTTTTTTTAAATAACTTAATCTCCTTAATAATTAATTTAAACGCTAGGCAACTAGTAGGCGCGTTTTAACTTTTTCATTCACGGACTCGCTTGTGTAGCGTGATATTAACTTTTAATATTTTAATTCAATAATCTCGTACTATGTCTACTAGTTTTAATGAATTTCTAATTTAATTAATTCTTTTGCTAAAATTGCGGATACGCTTGCGTAGTGCG